AATACTTGGAAGAGGCAGAGGCTCAATCGTCGGCTCCGCAAGAAAATTGCAGAACTTAACCGAATCATCGAGGACCACTTTCAGACCCTCTCTAGGCAGCAGTGGGATGGGGTGTGGAATTGTGTTGATGCCCAGATTAGAATTGGAGGGAAATGGGAAGTGTGCGTGTAAATAGTTTATGACTGTGTGAGCTGCGCTAAGAAAACTGTGTATTGGCATAATATTTGAACTGGTTTCAGGGTGCTATTATGTTTTTTTCTTTTTCGTATTGTTAATTTTTGGGTACCGTTCTGTATTGTTCTTTTATTTTTCACTGCAGAACTTTTTAATATGGAGTAGCCGAGGCAATAGGCACATCAACCTCTCTACAGCAAAATTGTTAAAACAGAACAGAACAGAAATGGAATTTTCTGAGGCACCTTTTGAACAAGTTGAATTCCAAGAGTAATCAAAGGCAAGTCATTGCTAAGCTCATACATGCCGCCAGACACTCTGATTCTTAAGACGCTATACTGGATGGTTTGGCTCACAGATATTTACCCATTGGCTCCTCGAGCTGTTCAGACTATTTGTCTTACACTGGTTCTTCTTGCACTGAGCTTGGAGAGACCGTTACCACCAGCGACGTTTTGCAAGTTCTTAAAAACCGTAATGGACGATCGGCTCCGGGGCCGGATGACATCTCTACAAGACCCTCAGGAACTTGGAAGACGAATCCATCAATTTTCTTACCGATGTGATCAATTTCATATGGAGAGAAGGTTCCGTTCCTGACTTTGGAAATTCCCAAGCCGGGGCGACCTCCAGGCTTAGGCCATCTTAGGCCTATATCTCTAATGTCCTGTGTCGGCAAGGTAGCGGAGCACGTCATTCACAACCGCGTATCTAAGTACATCGAGAAGAAAGGTCTTTTCTCCTTACAACATGGCTGAGTTTCGTCGTCTTTGTCTGCACAGGACACAATGAAACTGCTCAAACATCAAATCATAGACGTGAACACAAGGGACGTAAGAGGCATTCTGGGTCTTGACTTGAAAAAATCAGTTGACGACATCTCTCACGCGCACATTTTAAACTCCATTGCGGAGCTTGGACTGGGCGAAGCCTTCCACAGATACGTCAGCTCCTTCCTTGAATCCAGGAAGGCCACGCTCAATATCGAGACCTGAAGTCCTCTCCCATAGCACTGGGCTCTAAATGCACGCCGCAAGGAGCGGTGATATCCCCGCTTTTCTTTAACATCGTTGTCCACACTCCTATCTAACGTGAAGGGCATCAGCGATACGCTTTACGCTGATGATATTATCATCTGGTGTCCCGAAGGCAGTGAAGGGGAAGTCGAGACTGCACTCCACGAAGCCATTGATCAGATAGAGCTCTTCCTTGCTGGCAAAGGGCTGATGTGCTCTTTGAGTAAATCGGAGCTGCTTTTAGACAGGCCCAGTAGAAAAGGAGGCAGCCCAAAAAACTGGAAGCCTTTATCAGAGGTAGAAATTGTACTTCACACCGGAAGTGGCGCCCCCATTCCGAGAGTGGACGCTATTAGTGTGCTGGGCATGATTATAGAGTCACACGGGTACAACGGACAAACCATCCCTAAGATTTCAACCAAGACCGAGAGCATGATCGGGATTATCATAGAGTTTCGAACAGAAGGGGGTGGGGGGGACTCGGAGAAGACAATCTACTGAGGCTCTTTCATGTATTCCTCATGAGTCATATAACGTACGCTGCTGGTATGTACTCTTGCTATGGATTTTAAAAGAAGAAGCTGGAAACTCCAATCAGAAAAAGCGTAAAGAGGGTGTTGGGCATCCCCGTGTGAACAAGCACTGAACGGCTTATGCAGCTAGGAGTTCATAACACCCTAGATGAGATCGTTGAAGCCCAGGAGACTGCGCAGCCAATGCACCTGTCGTCTACGCCGACTGGCAGGAAGATTCTGTTCGTCCTAGGCCTCGGTCCGGCGCTCGTAGAGGATCACCATCTTCAACTGCCGGATGAACAACGTGCTGCCATCCAGGTCTCTTCGTTTCTCCGAAACGTTCATCCTCAGCACAACGTAGGAAGGCGCCGGGCTAGGGCCATCACACTTAAGAACATCAGGAACGATCCTCATTCAGTGTGTTTTGTCGATACTGCTCACTACGTTCGCTCAGCTAGGTTTTCTGTTATTTCCGTCAAACATATTGGTTCTATTATCAATGCTGCGTACGTTAGGGACTCTAATCCTTCAAGACGGAACAGTTGGCTGTAGCCCTTGCCCTTTTGGATGACAGTAGATTGTAAATCTTCACCGACTCAAGATTAGCAGTCAAGGCTTTAGCTTCTGCTTCCGTCTGTACTGAAGTATTTAAACTACTTAAAATAGGACACTTTCTCCACATAAAATTACCTGGTTTCCTGCACATCTCAAACCCCTACTGGACTCTCCAGTAAACCTGAATGACACTGCTCACTCCCGGGCACGCGCACAAAACCTCCGCGCGTGGAAGGACGTGGGTCCGCGGGTTTGCAGTGAGATGTTGAGAGACGCTTTACTTACATTCAGTGATGTGGCTAAACACTACCAGTTGAGTGGGCGGCCTCCTCCGCACAAGTCGTCTAGACCTCAGGCCATCACGTTTAGAATGCTCCAGACCAGGTCCTATTCAAGCCTATTTTTCCTTGGCATAGTCTCCTCAGGCGCTTTTGACTCTACTTGACCTGATTGTGGTGAGGTTAGTGACTTAGCACACATGCTCTGGCAGTGTCCCTCGTTAAGGGACCCAAGTCGGCTGACAGAAGAAGATTGGGACCCTGCTTTACGAAGTTCAGAGTTGCTACCAAAACTACGGGCTGTCCACAGAGCCCACGATGCAGTGGTGAAGCTAGGCCTCCCTGTTCCTACGTGAGAGTGACCCGCGGCGTTGCTTTAAAGGGGTAGCGTTTCTCAGGACCCAATAAAGTTCTCTGTCTGTCTGTCTGTCTGTCTGTCTGTCTGTCTGTCTGTCTGTCTGTCTGTCTGTCTGTCTGTCTGTCTGTCTGTCGGTCTGAAAGGCCACTCTGCTATAGCTTTCGCTGTGACTGTGCCGTGCCTTCCGCACATGCCTGGCGTTTTTGTTAATTAAAATAAGCGAATGAGTTTTAACTCGACAGGTACACCTAGTCAATAAAATGTTAGTGAGGCATAAGTAGACATGCTCAAATAGCATCTAACTGCGCTATTTTCAGCTTCGCACTAGATTTCCACTAATGAGAATTCTGGAAAGAGCAAGTTAGTACTGTTTCGTAACTGAAGATACAGCGTGCGCCTTGCTTTTTTGTTTGATTCATTCTCATGCAATATGCGTCCAAAGAATCGTGCTAATCGCCTGCTCATTTCTTTCAGGCGGATAGCTGAATCAGGCGAATTATGAAAAATACTAAGTAATCATGCTTGCAGACGCAAAAATATGGGGGCAGTATCTCCAGTCGCTAGCTCACAGTGGCACTGTCTGAGGGTGCTGCTTCGTAATGGGCCCAGCAGCCAGTCTCGTGTCATTTTATAGCAAAAGCTTTTATGAGATCAAAACTCTGGTCACGAGCGGTGCCGTAGTTGTCCACCACCGCCGTCACCGGTGTCCGTAACCACATCGCACGAAATTAGAAAAAAAAAGCCTAGTACGATTGACACAGTGGGGCTAGAACACGGGTGCGCTGGATGCCGGCTCAGTATTTTACCAATGAGCCACGCCGGTGCTTGGGACTAGTTGGCAAACTTCCCTTAGGCAGGCTTGATTTCGGGAAAGAAATCGCGTTATTACGACTTATAAAGCGTTTGAAACAGCGAAAGAACGACAAGTCGTCGCACAATGCGAATGGCGTAACGAGTAGGTCATCCAATGATCCAACCCATTACAAAAGCTTCTTTTTGTTCACTTCTTAACTATGGTGTGTACCCATTCAGGCGCAATTCGTCATCGTCATCAGCCACTGCATAAACAATTGGTACAAAGTTTCTTGCAAGTGTTTAGTAGATACAACGCTTCTCAGACGAATGACGAAAACTAGCATAATGAATGCCAGCCTACTACCCGAAAATTATTATTCATGATGCCACAGTTGGTATCAAGCAAGTGTGCTGGCAGCAGTTACCCAATGAGTGCTCAGAAAAGGCTCACAAAGACCGCTCTTATAGCTTTCGCTGTGAGTGTGCTGCGCCTTGCACGCAGGCCTGGCGCATTTTTTCTTTAGAATTCATGAACTCTCTTTACTGGGCAAAAGAGCACTAACGTAATGAGTGCGTTCTTAAAAAATACGCAATTAGATGTTGTTTGAACAAGCCATCAAAAGTCTTAAGTACAATTTGATGCTTAAAAATTATTCTTAAGTTAGAAACATAATCAGAAATAACTAACTGAATTTCTCGAGTCTTCCTTCACTGCTTCTTTCCTAATAATATAGTGTTTTGAAGCGTTAAACACCACACATCAATCAATCATGAGAACATGATGCAGAAATAAAAAGTATGCTTCGCGTAATGGTGTTCATTTTTTATTTATGCTGCGTAACATTTAGGACACCCTGCATTGGGAGACTACTCATATATTCTCAAATGATTACCTACCCTACAGTTGCCAACACAACAGAAAATTGTCATCATCATAAATATCATCATCATCATAAGAGTTGGCGCTTACAACCATAAAAAATGTTGAAAAACGCGACCATGAAAACATAGACTGGGCCTGAGTGAAACATAGTGAACAGGGCGAGAAATGGTGGAGAAGGAAATAGTAAACAGGGCAAACTGGTTAGTTCACTGGCCACCCCTCCAAACGGTTGTGCTATTGCGACCAACAGGGCATACAGCGCTAAAGAGATGTGTGGTGACATCTGAACCTTAACAGGCACCTGTATATCAAGCACTGCCACTAGACATAGATCGAATGCAAAAGTGGGAACTCTCTGTCTGCCGGGGAAATTCCTGCATAATGTTTTTATGATGAATTTTATTGTTTTCTGATTCCCTTTTTCAGAATGATATTGCCATTCTCACATTGAAAGAAAAGGTTGAATTCACAGATTCAATTGGTCAAGTGTGCCTGCCGGATTCAAAACGCCAACTCCCGGAAAACACGGATATGTACGTGACAGGTTGGGGACGGTATAAAGGTTTGTCGAGTTCTGATTCCTAAATTATTCTCATGTGACCATTCAATTCAATCGCTACCCTTTCATGAGCATATCGAGAAAGAAAAAGTGTAAACACACTTCATATTAGCTATGGATTCAAACGTATTTGCGAAATAACCAATGGAGCAGTGAATCAACCTGGCACCAATTTCCAGTGTACTCCTAAGGGACCGGGGCATGACTTCTATCTGACGAAGTAGCCCTACGCAGGGCGCTGTTTTGGTGCATCTTTCCTTTTTCAGCAGGTATTTTGCCCAAAAGATCATACATACATCACTTTCTTACGCATTATTATGAACAGTCCCCGTTACACATTATCGGCTTTCGAAGCTACGTCAAACGGCGACAATTCGTACATTGTAACTGGGAATAATTATGGTGTGTTATCTTGCCAAACACGGCTGCCCCAGCTGCCCGGCTTCCGCACCCGTGCAGCACTCTCGGATGGCATCTGTGGTGCATCGCAACGTAACCACCGCTGACTAGCTGTGCTTTGAGCCGATTGAACAGCGCATACGCGCAAGTGTCCTGTCTGCCACCGTTGCCATATCTGGTGACAAACCACTTCCACCCATCCGCGTCTATCACCAGTAGTGCCTATTTGCACCGTGCGAGCATCGAGCTCAAACTTATGCTTGGATTCTCTAAAGACCTCATAGAATAACATTGTGGATAGTACATGGGGTTATTATATGGCCACGAAATCACGGGATGCAGGGAACTAGAATATCGCCTAATTGGTCTGTCAGAATGCACTGATAATACGTCCAGCGTAGATAGCGGCGATCCTTAACCAGGGCTTCTGGGTCCAAGTTCACACGAGGCAGTTTATGCCTCCATGATTTCTGGAGCTCGCACCATTCGGATTTTTCTTGGAGGCTGGTGGCGAACAGGAATGGCAGATGGATTTTAGTTCCAGGATATGCTGCCTCTCCTAATGGGCTTTCCGTCATCCTCGGCCCCGAAGTTTTATATTCATTTCATATGTTGCTCAAACAGACGTTCCGAGCAATTCAAAGAAAACATGAAGAAAGCCGACAGAAAAAATTAAGGCTTGACGGATTAAATATGGTTGAACAATGAACACCACTGGAGCGAACGCCTACACAGATTATTTTGACGAGAACGAGTCCACTAATCGAAACGCTGGCTACAGCGACGGTCCGTATTCTGTACTTTATATGGTGGATGGAGCAAATGCTATGTATTTTCTCGCATATTTGATTTGTTTAAAGAAATTCAAATATCTATTACTCGAACGCCATCTTGTACCCTTTTCAACTAAAGCACAGTCTTAGCAACTATTTGTGATAAAATACACCAAAAATCCCTGAAATATAGGTGTTTGGAGGCAATTCTGATAAGGGACTTAACTAACAAGTCTCTTCTTGCCAGGTCGAACGCGCCACTTCATCCTTCATGTCAAACGTTTTTCAATAGATAGTGTTCGTGCTGAAAATGCATGCGTGCCCCTCAGGTATGCGCACACCTGGATATCATGAGGATAGAAGAACTCTTAATTAAAGCACTGTGCGTGCCACCATCCTTGATTTTTTTCTGTCACATGATAAATATTTATTTTAGAAGCAAATTGTTTAATGAACCATGTGGTGTTGATAGGTTTAGTTTATTTTTTGGTACCATGGTGGTTACCTGGCATACAATAAATGTAGTCTTCTAGGACACTTGCACGATGTGAAATCGCTCAGGAAAAGGTGATTGCAAACGAATGAACATATGACCGGTTCTCATCTTTGTGTGTAACGGTGCAGCGGAAAATATTCCGGTACCATTAGGAACCACGAAAGTGATCAAAGCGGTGTGATTGATCATGATATTAGAACAAGCAGTCTGCGCAACAAAACCTTGAACGTAAGTGTCTTCCTAAGCTACGGTGGGCGTTAAGAGCAAGGTAAGGTTTAGGAAGCAGTAGCACTTCTATTTGCTAGCAAGTTTCCGTTATTCGTATAGAAGTACTGTTACGTCGGAGGCAAGGTACGTTGCAGAAGGGTAGCAGTGAGGCCGATCATTATCCGTTTTGGCAGCACACCACCAAGAAAGTGCATTTTTATTGCTTGAAGCTTTGCGCTTTGGTTACTGTTATAAGGGTGCCTCTGATATCACGAAACGGTTTTTTTCTTTGTTTGTTTGAAGCAGATTGAGGAACTGTCCATGATTCTCGTAGAACCATGAAGTTCTATGCAGTATGTGTGGCACTATAATTTCTTCGGATCGTCAAAACGGCTAAAAGAGACGTTACGCAATGAAAGAGAGAAAAACGAGAAAAAAGGAAGGCAGGCAGGTTAAATCCCCTGCCTTCCTGCTTCAACATTTTGAATGCTGTAACATTTCCAATGGTCTTCTGGGAGATTTGTACTTTCACAACGGTTCGCTGACTTTTTTTACATATTTCAGTGGACAGCCCTGAGCTATCACCTAGGCTCAAACAGCTGCGCTCAAGGACCATATCGCACAAGAGATGCTTTGACGATTACGGCACAGGGTTGCCAGACAGCGTGTTGTGTACTAGTCATGATTTTGGTTCTTCGTGCAAGGTAAGAATCATCGAAAAAGTATATATAATAATACACCCTATATTTTTTGTATAAAGAAAAACAAAGGAATTTTTTTAAGCTTCTCTGTTATTACTTCGCCCTTTCTGGATGTGGGCAAAGCACATATCACTATCCCTTAACGTCATTACTTCACACACAGCAATATAAGTGCATCATTTCGGTTTTGATGCAACGGTTTCACTTCGGGTCTTATGCGTCATTTCTGTTTTGACTTGAAACGTACAAAATCAAACCTGATGATTCCTGGCAATATCTGGCAGATGACATGTGAAGCCAAACTAATCAGATAAATGAAAATTCATAAGCTTTCTTCATACCGTTCACTACGCAGTACAATCAGTCGCTCTGCAATCGTCTAAACATGGTCTTATGTTCGCTATGTTCTTTTCGAAAACTTTGTAACCTAATTTTACTCAACCATATGCAAAAGTCAGTTGACGTAAGGTACGCATTCAAAACTACAACGTACAGAAAATCCACGCGCACGTAAGTTCCTTCATGAGTTTTGTTTGGCATAACGCATCACAGGCGTCGTTTAGCAGTGTAGCCTTGCGCTATCCCGACATGAGAGAGCGCTTATTTGCACAATGAATAGATTAAAACTTGATACGAAAAAATTGGCAGATCCCACGTACAGCGGCGATCGATGATATGCGAAGCACGAATGAGGAAGATTGATTTGACATTTTAAAATCAGCACAACGTTAATAGGGGGACGTGAAATATGCACCGCCGAGGTCTTCTAGTCGCTAAGGTTCTCGGCTGCTGACTAGCAGGTCACGGGATCAAATCCTCGCTGTGGCTGCTGCATTTTCGATGGAGGCAAATATGCTGTAGGCATGTGTGCCCAGATTTGGGTTCCCGTTAAAGAGCCCTAGGTGGTCTCAATTTTTCGGAGCCCTTCACTACGGCGTCTTTATTATTCGTATGGCGGTTTTGGGCCGCTAAACTCCACATATCAATCAACCGATCGGACGTAAATTATGCCGTAGATGAATTCTATGTCATGATTATCAAATTTGGTATATGTGGAGCAAGTGAAAAAGCCACGAGCAAGCTATGAGCGTTGCATGTAGTCATGATTTACATGACACACATATCGTGAATACTATGTTTTGACGTTTCATTTACCTTCGTCGTCCATCTTTGCCACGTAATACCAAATATGGTATATGTGGAGCTAGCAAAAAAGCCGCGAGCACGCTTCGAGCGTAGCATGTAGTCAAGTTTTAAATGAAACGCATATCATGCTTATCATGTTCTCACATGTTATTTGCCTTCGTCATACATTCAGGTCCCATAATAACAAATTTGGTATATGTGAAGCTAGCGAAACGACCACAACTGCACCCTGAGCGTGGCGAGTAGTGACGACTTACATGGCAAGCATGTCATGATTTGCGCGTTGGTCTGTCACTTATGAACGTCATGTAGTCATGTCATACCATACCAGTTTTGAAATATCTCATGTGAAAAAAACTCTTGAGAGAGAAGCGAAACCAGGATTTGCAAATCATGACATGCATGTCGTGCTTTTCATGTTATGATTAGTCGCTCGGGCTAGTGATAGAGTCATGTCAGGGCATACCGATTTCGGTATCAGTACCATTACGCAACGACAAGGGGGATGAGCTAGAAGTCGTAGGCGGATATATATATATATATATATATATATATATATATATATATATATATATATATATATATATATATATATATATAGGTAGATAGATAGATAGATAGATAGATACGCTCAGTCGCCGAAGTTCGCTCAGAAATGCTTCGCGTTTATTATCTAATTCACAAAAGCTTCCCACCCTTTGCGGGGAAGGGTGGACTTCGCTAACCTCAGCAATAAAATAACCAGAATTCTCAGCACAAAGTTCGAATCATGCAGTATAGTTAAAGTTCGAAGTTTAAACATATATTAGATTCATCGCACAACTTAAATGCTTTCACTTGACTGTCTGGACAATTCTTCATGCACTATTTGCCGCATGTCTGGTAAGAAAATATTCTTAGGCCTGCATCCGTTTTTTCTGGTGCTTGTGTCGTAATTAGCCGTGAAACATGAAGCGTCACTACCAGATCGTAACCGTTGGTGTTACCTTGTGCCGCAATAGCGCACGCGCATCATTCCCCATGTCGCAGGAAGCCTAACTTCGCGAGCGCAATACACTCCTCTACTGCAAAACGTGGCATAACATGGCATCACCTATGCTGTCAACCAAATTACTGATTCCTTCGTGGCACTTAGTTGTTTATAAATCAAAAAAATAGCTGCAAGAATGTTCGAAAATCCGGGTGAAGTATTAATTGTAAAAGATTTACTCTGACGTAATTCCACAGAAATATAAGAAAAGTAAATAGACGTTTCCCCACATATGGGGGTGGCGGGCTCACTGTAAATTGACAATTCAGCAGAGGTCACTCAGCCCACTGGTAGTCTCATAAGTCTCTGTAAACGTCGGGTAGCCAACCACGGTTGTTGCACGCCAATTTTCTCGCGATGAACAAAACACGATTCCAGGACTTGTCTACCCCAATCTTTTGTTCACGAGCCAGCGTCGTTGCATTGTAGACAATGTGATGTTGGAGTCCCAATGTTGACAAGGTAGCGTAGCAGCGTGTTATTGTTTTTCAAGATTCCTTGTGTCGAATGGAATCGCAGGAGGAGTAAGCACATCATAGCTCTTATGTATTAGTCCTTTCTCAGCGCTAGTCTTTTGGTAGGCCATGTAAGCTGCTTTAACTAGTCGAGTATATTCCCAGTTGAAGCAGCCGGTCCTTTGTAGTGGAGAATATGATGAGGAAAGTTACTGTCTTAAACGCAAAGCAATTCATAGCGAACTTTGGCTACTTAAAGCGTTTTTCTCTCTCTCTCTCTGTCTCTCTCTCTATCTATCTATCTATCTATCTATCTATCTATCTATATATATATATATATATATATATATATATATATATATATATATATATATATATATATATATATATATATATATATATATATATATATATAAGGAAAAGAAGTGTGTACCTAAGGGCTAGTTTTTCTGTGTTTTGACACAATAATAATGAGATCTAACAGACAATAATGCCAAGGAATGTATAGGGAAAGCTACTAGAACCAATGTAATGTAAATAAGAATACAGAAAAGTGGCTGAAAAAATAACCTTCTGTGAGCAGAAATCGAACCTACGACCTTCGAATAATGCGTTCGATGCTCTGGCCACTGAGCTATCACGGCGGCTATCCCTCCACCCTCCAGCCACTTTATTGGGTTTATATGTCAATTTCAACGTGGGAGTATCAATCAGCGCCATCTGTTGCCGCAGCGGCGAGTGTACAACACACTTTTATGAGCCTGTGTGGCGTCACGTAGCATGTGACGCCACTTTAATATTTTGTCAAAACACGGAAAAACAAGCCCTTAGGTATACACTTTTTTCCCTTATTCATTAACGAGGGTCTCGTACTGGCAGACTTGGTGCCGATAGGTCGTATACGAGGGACTATTGGTCAGCTGACCGCTCGTAATAAGTTCATGTTTCATGACGTGTCGCTCATTTCATGACGTGTCGCTAAAAAAATGCAACACAGTCACCTTCCCTCCGCTTGCTTCACATAGCATCGATTCGATTACCAGGTACGTGGGATCTGCCGAAGTTTTCGTATCGACTATTTCTCTGAAAAATCAATAACAACAACAACAAAACAAGTTGCGCATACGCATGCCCCGCAAAAGATATTGGTAAAAAAATCAAAATCGAATGATGGCTGTAAACATGAACGTTGCAAGGGGATTTTGAGAGGAAAGAAAAAAAAGTCAACATGACATTATTGAAAGTAGCACTGCCACTCTTCAACTACGGTGGCAGTATCACTTTTTTGACAAGTGTCCAAACCTGTTCTCTATAGATGGCAGATGCAGCCCGTCCTTCCAATTTCTTCTTCCTTTTCTGGCGGCCAATATTAACTGTACTATAATAAAAGTGCAAATGAAAATTCACTCTATGTTATGTTACATTAGTGCGCAAGCTCAGCGAAGTATTAGAAAAAGACGACTGCTGTAGCTTTATACCAAGTTGAGTTGAGTGGATTCGCACATGCTACATTTCCTTGCCTCTCCTGTTATTTTGTTTTTTTTTAACTAAATGTGGTCTTTCACTGCCACAATTTCAATATTTCACCACTGCTCTGTTGTCATCGTTGTTGCTTTTATCACATACCACAATGGCACTCACAGAGCCTTCACACTCAAGTCTGCAAAGTGGTAACAGAACACGTATTTCGTCGTATCTGGTAAACATTTGAGCAATCTTATCCTCGAGTTGATCACAATGCACGTGTAATCTGTTATATGAATGCACCCGTGATGAAAGACTGACTTGAATATGTTGAATAACCGCAACTTTGGCTTTATTCAGGGTGACAGTGGAGGCCCTCTCGTGTGGAATTCAGGAAGTGCATGGTTTCTAGAAGGCGTGGTTTCCGGTGGACCTGCGAAGTGTGCCAACCCTGACGACCCATTGCTGTTTACGAATCTGCCTCCTAAAGTGGACACATTTATCTTGCCTTACATTGAGGCTAGTAACTACACTGAAAAATCTAAAATCTGTAAGATTGTTTAGAACTTCCTAATAAACTCAAATAACTACCCCTGAAATATATTTTCAAGCACCATTTTGCTTATATTTCTTATTGTTGGAGATTGGCAGTATTCAAATAAAAGTATCTAGAGTTGGGATGATTGTGAAGGACGCCATATTGGAGGGATCCGGGAATTTCCGCCACCTTGTTTTTTTTAATGAAAACGAACACCGCATAGTACAAAGGCTTCTAGAACTTTGCCTCCCTCAAAATGCGACCGCCACGGCCGGGATCGAAACAGCGTCGTTCGGGTCAGCAGACGTGCACCATAACGGCTATTTCATCAACAGAGAGGTCAGTATTCGAGGTAAGGTTTTTAAGGTGCCAATTGCTGTTAGCACTACCGTGTCATCCTTTCACCACAAAATCTAGTGTCGCCATATTGTTGTTGTTTTGGGCTCTAAAATTTGGTTCTTATCATCTCTTTTCCACTCCAATTCATCAGTTTGTCCAGTTGACCAGTCTGTTGCAAGAAAAAAGAAGTTCTTTAGCATAAGAGTGATGTAAGCATTCACCCCCCCCTCCCCCTGGTATTTCATGGCGGTATCACGTGCGGATCGTATTGTGTGGATGAGAAGGAAAAGAAAAACGGAAGGAAAGGGAGGTTAGCCAGTTTTCAGGCCAGCTGGCTACCCTGTGCTGGGGAAATGTGTAAGGGGAATAAAAGATGTTGGAAGAGAGAAGTTACAACGTGACAATCAAACTACAACATGTGCTCCCCTCAAACGAAAAAAAACAGAGCACTTGCACTGAGGCATTTATCCAGCAGTTCAACGCGGTGCTGTGTCTGGCACAGAGGTTCTGTTGTGACCCTCAATATTTCCGGTTGTTAGTGCTCGAACAAGTAAAAAGTATTGCATTCAAATTGCTAATTTTTGGTCACAATAACGCTCAACCATTATTCATAGTACTGATTGCGATTTAAAAATGAATTGTCTATTGTAATATGAATGGCAATTTTATTAATGACGTTCCAAGGAGCGATAGATGGAATCGTACGCTTCATTTTACTGTTTGACACCGGGTTGTCTGTTTGGAGGTCGGCGCTGGTAAATTGCACTGCCTGCAATAGATGGCGCCACAATGCGTGATCAGTAGCTAAGACGTTACACATTGCTTTACGCCTTTGACACGCAATGGCAGCACATCTTCATTGTCACGCCAGGCGTGATGACACTTGACACTTTGTTTGGGCGAGATGACACTTGAGGGAGTTTTCATAACCAAAAAAAATTCAATCGGCCTCAGTAAGCTTTCAGGCTTGCGCTGCGGGAGGGGGAGGAGCATATTCTCTGGAAATCCCACCAAAAATTATACCACACAGGGTCAGGCAGCCATGTTGTTCATACGAACCATTTCAGTATATGGCGTGGCGTGTCTTTACGAGCGTAAACAACATTAATATTCAGGTGTTCTATTCTTATCAACAACCAGATGGCTTCCGCGAAAGCCATTTCATGCTTATAAAACCTACTTTTAGTTACAAAAGAGCTAGCCACTTGTTTTCGTTGTACCACGATAGACACCATGCAGTCGAGTTTTCCTGAAAGACGGCAGCCCAGAACGTAAAGCGTAGCGGATAAAAATTGCAATATATGTGTGAGATGGGGTCGGTCAAAATTAAACGTGAGGCACGCGTATCGCTGCCTGCATGAAATCATGGCGTCGGAATCGATCTCACCGTCAGCGTCATTGGTTGTGAGTAAATAATGATCATGTTTTCCGAGACGAAAAATGGAGAAAGATGCAAGCAAAGTAAACAATAAAACATTTTTTCTATAAATGAAAAGGGATTCCAAACCGTTTGCGCGGCAAGCAGATGTTTTACAAGACAACCAAGCGTCTAATAACAAGAACAGTTAAAAGAACTTGCTCTGTTTGGAAATTCATTGCAAATAATCTTCACATTATACAAGCACATGCGTCCTGTGTGCAGGCGTCACAATACAACATGTAACATTGCTGTATTTTGCATGATACAAGCGTGCATCGATTCATGTTTGAAAATACCTGATTATCATAATGTATTCGCTGTTTAACTCGGTTACCTACTACAAACTTTACTCCCGCTACTGCGCGTATTCTACTCAAACCACGTAGTGAGTCCATAGAAAAATCAAGAAATTGGCAGATCCAACGTACAAAAGGAATGGACAATTCGTGAAGCACGAATGAGGAAGGTTAACATGACAATTTAAAATAAGCAGAAAGTTACGAGGCAGCCGTAAATTATACCGTAAATGACTTCCATGCCATGATTATCACGTTTGGAAGTGTCACTTAACTTTGTTGTCTATTCACTACACGTTATACCAAATTTCGTATATCTGGGGCTAGCAAAAAAGCCGCAAGCACGCTATAAGCGTAGCATGTTGTCCCGTTTTAGATGATACAAAGGTCATGATCATCATGTTTGGACGTGTCATTCACCTTCGTCGTCTATTCAGGTCACGAGAAACCAACTTTGGTAATTGTGGAGCAAGAGGAACGGTCGCGAGCGGAATGGTCGAAAGCACGCCATGAGCGTAGCAGGTAGTCACGTTTTACGAGACACGCACATCATGATTCTCATGTTTGGACGTGTCATTTACCTCCGTCGTCTGTTCATGTCACGTGATCCCGAATTCGGTATATGTGAAGCAAGCTTTACGCCAACGAGTACGCTATGAGCATAGCGTGTAACCATCTGTTATATAACACGCATACCATGATTATAATATTTGGACGGCTCATTCATCTTCTTCGTCCATTCAATTCACGTTATGCTACATTTGGTATATGTGGAGCTATTGAAACGACCGCGTGCATATTGTGAGCGTAGCATGTAGTCTTGTCTTACATGACACACTTGTCATGATTATCACGTTTGCATGTGCAATTTACCTTTGTCGTCTATTCACGTGACGTGATACGAAATTTGGTAAATGCGGAGTCCGCAAACCAGCTGCGAGTGTATTTTAGGCGTAGCGTGCAGGCATGTTTACATGACACGCATGTCCTAATTATCAAGTTTGGACGTGTCATTTACAATCGCCATCCATTCACGTCACGTAATAATAAATTCGGTATATGTGAAGCTGTTGAAACGGCCGTGAGCTCATCATGAGCGTTTCATGAGGTCATGTTCTTACGTGACATGCATCTTATGATTATCATGTTTGCACCACTACTTTGATTTTGTCATCCATTCACGTGCTGTCATACCAAAATTTGGTTTATGTGAGGCTAGCGAAAGGACCGTGAGAGCACCATGAGCATGACGTGTAGTTGTGACTTACATGATATGCATATCATCGTTTCCACGTTAGTGACTGTCATGTTGGACATGCTGTCATGTCATGCCATACTAGTTTTTCCATACATCTTGTGAAATAAATCATCTCAAGAGAATCAAGACTTTGAATTGCAAATCACGACATACATGTCAGGATTTTCATGTTATGACTAGTCACTTATGCTCGCGATACAGTCATGTCTTGCCATACCAGTTTTGGTATCAATAGCATTATCGAAACGACCAGGAGAGTTTAATGTCGTAGGCAGCTGATTCATAGACAGATAGAAAGATAGATAGATAGATAGATAGATAGATAGATAGATAGATAGATAGATAGATAGATAGATAGATAGATAGATAGAAATAGCAGATCCCACGCACAATTGCAATTCATGATATGTGAAGCATGAATGACGAAGGTTAATATGTAATCTTAAAATCAACACATTACGAGGTGGACGTATAATATGCTGTACTTGACTTCTTATGATGATTATCATGTTTGGACATGTCATTTACCTTCCCGCTCTATTCACGTCACGCGATGCCAAATTTGGTATATGTGGAGCTAGTGAAACAGCCGTGAGTGTGCTAAGAGCGTACAATGTAGTCATGTTTTTACATGACATGCATATTAAGATTATTGTGTTTGGACGTGTTATTTATTTTCGTCGACAGTTCGCGTCACGTAATACGAAATTTGATTCATTTGAAGCAAGTGAAATAGTCGCGAGTGCGTTATGAGTGTGGTATGCAGTGAGGTTCTTACATGACATTCATCTCATGATTAACATGTTCGAACCTGTCTCATATCTTCGTTATTGATTCACGCGACCGAATAAAAAATTTGGTAAATTTGAACCCAGTGAAACTACCACGAGCGCGTCGTGAGTGTGGCATCTTGTCATGTTGCTATATGCGGAGCTGAGCAGTATCGCAATACAAGAGTACAGCGATAGTATTTCAGAAGTACTTTTGAGTATCTCCGAAATATTATGTACTTTCAAAATGTATTTGTATCTCAGTAGTGAAATACTTTTAGGATGCATCACCCTTGTTGCTATACTATAGAGGACACGGGTATGTCGTTTCTTCTTTTTTTTGGAGATGAGCTGAGACGTGTTGAAAATGGGAAATTTTTTGCCGCTTTGACCTTGGCAGTCCGAAGCGAAATATGCACCCACCAATTCAACATTTTTGCTGAAGGCGAACATCACTCTCACGAACCTAAAAGCGGCGTAGTCGCTTTGCTACCCGCCTCCGATTATGCACATTCTGGCAGAACCCGAATGTGTTTGAATGATAGCCTGTTCTAGCAATGGCCAACTATGTTATACTGCTATTTTGAATTCCAGCAGTGATATTTTCATTGTGAGAAGCAATGTATACTGTACCAAGGGCGCCAACCAACAACATCATTTTTTTTAAAGAGGATAGTCTTTCTTGGAGACCTTCGACGAAAAAATTTTGGTCTGTCTGTCTGTACATTATTCTGTTTGTCCACTCGTAATGGCATCAAGTACTTGAAACGACCGACCTCGTCCGAAGCGCCCAGATATGTCGCTCAAGGTTGAGCATTTATGCTTTTGCAATGGTCAATTAAAAAGCAATTATGGCGCATGTCTGGGGCACCATAAGAACACGCATATATTCCGCATGTGCGTCTCTTACAAGAAAAGGCATATATTAGTAATTTTAAGGACCATAGCACTTATCACGCTGCGCTGACCATGCAGCGCTTGCTTGGAAAGGCGAGTGTTTCCGACGCTTTACTAAAACGAAACGGTGGTGGCACCTACCCATCGCCTTGCGTTCTACAT